GCATTTTGATATCCATATTACTTAGTTTAGTGAAGTAGGTAGTAGGTATGAGAGAGATAGAATTCGGTGAGTATTGTGCGGTGAGAATATTGTTCTTATTTTCTGGTACTATACTAATATTGTAGAATATTATAATCTTAACTCTGGGAAGTATATACATTGGGTGATTTACCTCTCGGGGAGTTTCCGCGGCAGATCCCCGAGCGGAATCGCGACAGGTTCAACATGACTTTCACCACGGATAGTGACTCTGAGAGAATTATACTATGAATCGGACTCATGCTACAGTGATTTTATCCTCTGATCGACACCCCGGGAAACGACCTGGGAACCGGGCTACATCAATCTGAATCATGGTGCTGTCGACATCGCCCCGAATACCCTTCTCAAAGATACAAATCCTAATATCCACAATAGTTACCCTGATTAGCAACAAACACCACAGCACACCAAAGCCCTAATTCCATCCCAAAATGCCAGACCCAACAATCCAATCCCTCGCAACCTACATACATAGCTCTTAGCTACATATTGGGCTATTAGCAGATTTTAGCGCCGGTGTAAGTGTCCGGTACAAAGAGGATGGTAGAATATACGTATGATGCGGTATATATATACCTGATATGCAAGTACAATATAGGTATTTAGATATATCTTTACCAGCACTTTTGTCATGTCTAGTTAATAGCTACATTGGAACTAATCCGACTAACTTTCGGTATAAACAAACCGAAATGCTTATCGATAAGCTTAAGGCCCGCGTCACACAAGCAACGAATCACAGCGCAGGAAACTGTAAAAGGAACCAATAAGCAAAGAATGTGGGTAAAGATAAGGTTGTAAGATCCTGACAGAAACACAATCAAAGTCAAACAGGACAAATGTAGATATGGATTGATTAGTTTTGTGCGAATAATCTTACTGTGGAGCTTCCCAGAAGATCCCAATGTTTGGTACGGAATAAATAGAAAAATTCCTTGACTACTTGATACTAGCGCTGGTGCCTGGACTGTGGCTGTGATCCCGCAATCGAGCCGCGCCGATTAAGTGAAACAAACTCAACTTTCCCTGCTAATGCTCTCGGTGTCATTCTCGTCTTGCCCACTCACATTAATCCTCTCAACTAATTCTCTCCCCAGTCCAATGCCAGACGGCTTTGGTGAGCATGGGAACACATGATAAGTACGTTATTCCTTGGCCGCGCTTACGATCTTCCTTTGGTGCAGCCGCTTACTCGCCTGCTCTTGGACAGATTTATTGGCCTCGCACTGGCTGTGCTGGCTTCGTTGGCCATTGGTATGTGCTTTTTGATATCTCTTGTCTTCTTTTTCCTATAAAAAAAATACTGCCCGGCAGTACACTCTTGAATAGCTTGCTGACGGTCGCAATCCACAGGTTCGAGCTATGTCATCACCAAGAAGGTACGCCGCGGATCGTATCCGGGGGAACCAAATACCTGACTCAGTCGACTAGGGCCTTGTACAAGCGGCGGAGAAATATGGCTTCAGTGGAGAAGGATTTGAATATCTGCGAAGTCCGCTATGGTGGTGTGGGATGACCATCCGTAAGGATATTAGTCGAGCCATCATGGCCAGAATCTGACGATTACAGTGATATCGGGAGAGCTTATGAACACAGCCGCGTACGCTTTTGCTCCAGCAGTGCTGGTCACTCCGCTCGGGGCGCTCAGCGTACTCATCAGGTGAGCTCATGTGGTTCTCGACCGCATTTCCTACGCTAATCGATCCCAGCGCCTTGATGGGCGCATACTTTCTCAACGAGAATATACAAGTGCTTGGCAAGCTCGGAGCCGCCATCTGCCTTTTGGGATCGGTATTACTTGTCCTCCATGCGCCGGGCGACAGGGACATCCAGACCATTGAGGAGATCCTGCACCTCGCCATTCAACCAGGTTAGCTTGCCCGGACCTCCCCCGGGTACGGACAAACACACTAATAGCGTCTTTCCAGGCTTCCTCATCTACTGCACCCTCGTCACCGTTTTCTCCAGCTACATGATCTACAAAGTCGCCCCGCGACTAGGCCGAACGAACCCGCTCGTCTATCTATCGATCTGCTCCACCGTGGGATCCATCTCCGTGATGTCTGTCAAAGCCTTCGGAATCGCCATCAAGCTCACCTTCGCCGGCGACAACCAGTTCACCCACGCGTCCACATACGTCTTCTCCCTGGTCCTGGTAGTCACCACACTAACTCAGATGAACTACCTGAACAAAGCAATGGGCGAATTCCCCGCGTCGCTGTAAGTATCCACCACCATATCACCACTACTTCAAAGTATACATATACTGATAAGTACCACAGAGTAAACGCAATGTACTACGTCGGCTTCACAACCTGCACCCTCACCGCCTCCGTCATCTTCTACCAGGGCCTGAACACCAGCGACTGGACCAACATCACCTCCATGATGTGCGGCTTTCTACTCAACTTCATCGGAATCTCCCTCCTGACCTTATCCAAAACAGGGCAGGAGGGCCGTCCGGAGTCCGTCCGTGCCCTGAGCATGCGGTCGCTTGACTTGTCTCATGGCCGGTACGATCATGTGCGATCCAGCAGCGTGGATGTTCCCAGCGCCCTGGAGAGGAGGTCGTCTGGCCTGGATGCTGCGGAGCGGCAATAGTGGTGGTGGACTAGGCTGCTGTCATTGGGCTAATTTCTTTTTATTTGTTTGTTTTCCTTTGTACTCACTAGGTCGAGTCTGAGATATTTAGAGTCAGATCGACCACCACGCTGAGTTTAGTGGGAAGGTTGAAGCTAGTAGCTTCGGGCTTTTTGTGAGATTCGATGGGCCACTGGTGGGCCTGTCGGGCGTGTTTGAGAATATACCCTAAATCTAAAATTCAACTGTCCCTGTAGATGGGACATGATATGTATGTATGAAATAAGAGATTATAGAATGATCTTGAATTTGGAAGTAGAGGGTGTTTCACGATAGCATGGCAGTTGCGACTAATTGCTATCATTGGATTATTGAAGTAGTAGTGTTCAAGGTATTCGGTGTATCAAGTCTAATAAGTTCTCTGGATAGTGTTTGGGTTTTTGTTGGTCGCTGAGTTTCTATAATATATATCTGACACCCTGCAAGGTGTATATGTCTTTGGTGGATATATTTTGGAAGTCCCTCAACCCAAATCTGGTTAACAAACAAGACTCTAGTAAAGATCAATGCACTCCTTGAAGGAAAGTTGATACCACAGGTCTCGACATGGCAACTATACAAATCTACAACGAATTTCACTCTAAAGCTAGATGAAGTGTTTAGCATCTTTGCAGGTTTTTTTTTTGTGCATTTTATTTGGCTTATATATCCAAAACAAAAGCAGTCCTTCAACAACATCCGATGTGGTGTAATGGCTAACATCGCTGTCTCTCACACAGCAGCTCGGGGTTCGATTCCCCGCATCGGAATAACTTTTTGTTTTTTTGCTGTATTCGATTATTGATAGATAATAGTAATTCATTCCCTCTATCTTGTGCCGGCTGGCTCTTATCTTTCTTTTTGAGTGCCCAGTGCAGTGGGTCACTGAGTATTGCCCTTCTACCATATATAGATATAGACACAGATATCAAGACCAGTTCATTCCAACCCAACGCCGTCACTAACGAAACGAAACCCATAATGACAACCATGCAGATAAGTAAAAAACAGAATGGTAATACAGCCCAAGGATGTATCAAGCCTCATTACCCCCTAACCACCCCCATGTCACAAGCACCCCC